GCTTTCACAGGAAGAGAAAGATACTTTTTGGAACGACGTCAAGGAGGCGAACGGGAAGGCAGAGGTCGAGAAGATTGCGGTGGAAACGTTCACGAGGGTATACCGCGAGAGCCGCGCCTCAGGCAGGCAGGGGAAATACCTCCCACTCAGCGTCTACAAGAAGAAGGGCTACTCCGCAAAGAGGATTAAGAGGCTGTGCAAAGACAAGAAACAAGATGATGTCCTCGGCACGCTCTACTGCGTGAACATTGATTACAAGGACGACAAAAGCGTCGAGGAAGAGGTCCGCCAGTCCCTGACCGCCGCAAAGGAGCGCACCGCCAGCCCGCAGCAGCACCAAGGCAAGAACAAAGGCAAAGGCAAGGGAAAGGAGCAACTCGCGCCAACCTCAGCCACCAAGAAGATGATGAGCGACGCCGTCAAGATCCTGGCCAAGGTGAGCCCGCTCGCTTTCAAGGCAAAAGGGTTGTTGAACAACCCCAAGGCAAGCAAGCTGCACAAGGACCACAGCAAGGCCCTGGCGTGGCACATCAAGGACCTCGACGCTCTCGCGGCCGCGGCCCAGGATACCCTGTCCAAGAACGCCGTGCTGTCCATTCAGCTTGCGACGGTGAAGGAGAAGGCAGACGCGGCTGAGAAGAAGTGCGCGCAGGCGGAGACAGCGCTCAGCACTTTCGACGACTGAGGCTCCCCTGCGGGAGGAGAGGGGAAGTGCAGCAACGAGCATGCTGCGCGAGTGACCGCCTCTTGACATCTCTCGGGCTGAGATGCGGCGTCGGAGAAAAAAATCATTCATTCCGTTAGCGATTCACTCGCTCATTTCGTTAGCGATTCAATCGCTCATTTCGTTAGCGATTCACTCGCTGATTTCGTTAGCGATTCAATCGCTCATTTCGTTAGCGATTCAATCGCTCATTTCGTTAGCGATTCACTCGCTGATTTCGTTAGCGATTCAATCGCTCATTTCGTTAGCGATTCACTCGCTATGAAGCGGCGCCCTCTCTCGGAAGCGATTGAATCGCTCGGCGCGACGGCTTGCACCCTTCACCTGCTTTACATTCAGCGCTTGGGCTCAGGAGTGCCCGAGTCCCGCGCCCCAGCGCCCGCGTGGGCCATCATGGGTAAGCAAGTTCTCGAGAAGCGCCGCCGCCTTGGGAGGCTGGTGACCATTCCAGGCGTGACGTGCGCTGGTTTGTGCGAGGTCCTCCGCCGACTGAGGCAAGCGCCCATCGAAGAGGAGGTCTCTGCGCATGAGGCCAAGGCCGCCGCGAAGATGGAGTACGATAGAGAGATGTCGTGTTCTCTGGAATTGCCGCTGTGCGACGGCGGGTCCTTTGAGTGGCACATTGCAAGGACGTCGCGGGGCGCACCAAGCAGCGCGTCTTTCTTGGGCCGCAAAAAATCAACAACGGCATCTGGATTTTTTTCTGGTGCCAGTTTTCTCCTCTCCCCCTGCCCCTTCCCCCCCTCCACCCATTCCCCCCTTCCCCCTTCCCCCCCCCCCAGGGCGGGAGGGGGTGGTGCAGGGGGTTCGCGGCGCGCCTGCTTGGCGCATCCCGCTGAGGCCTGCCCGCTTGGTTCAACGGTTAGTCGAGGTGTCCCCAGCGCTGAAGCGCATGTTCGCGGCCGCGCCTATCACCCCAGCAAGGCCGTGGAACGTGATCCTTGCGCACGACGAGGTCACGCCTGGAGCTGTGCTGCGACCGCATAACCGCAGGAAGTTCGTTGCATTTTACATTTCGTTTCTAGAATTCAAGCATGCCCTTCGGCACGATTGCTGTTGGTTCCCCCTGGGCGTGATCAGGTCGGCACAAGTGGAGAAAATTCGCGGTGGCCTCTCGGGCACGATCAAGTCGTTGCTGCGTCGCTTGCTTCTTGAGGACGGCAATCTCGTGGATGGCGTGGCCTTGCCGCTACAGGGCGGGCCGACAATGTTCTTCGCGAAATTTGCCGTACACTTGGGAGACGAGGTCGCTTTGTCCAGGGGCCTCGGCGTGAAAGGATCTGCAGGGATCCGACCGTGTCTGAAGTGCGCCAACGTGCTCAAGAAAGGCTCAGGCATTGCTGGCGCTGGCGCCGCGCCCAATCGGTTGGTGGAAATCACATGCAGGGACCGCAGCGCATTCATTTGTAATTCTGACGAGGCCGTATGGGGAGCCCACGACGAGTTGACGCACTTACAAGGGACAATATCGAAAGCCGCATTTGTGCGCCACGAGAAAGCACACGGCATCAATTTTAATCCTGATGGGTTGTTGGCGGACGCAGACCTCCGAGGGCAGGTCGGCCCTGTTTCGTCGCTCCATTTTGATTGGATGCATGTATATTTGTGCAATGGTGTTGCGTCCCAGGAAATGTTTTGCTTCATGTCGGCATGCCAAGCCATTCCTGCTCTGAGGGACATCTATCCGAAGTTGGAACGGTACTGCCAGGCAGACTGGTCTTTCCCCCAGCAACACCGACGCAAGTGTCGGGAGGCCCACGTTGTTTTCTGCAAGGCCAGGGAGAACGCATCCAAGGAGCATTGGCGAAGCAGCGCCTCGGAGTTGTTGTGCATTTACCCGCTGGTGCGGCATTTTGCTTGCATTGTTATCTTGCCGAATTTCGATGAGCTGCGCGACGAAGTTGCCTCCCTCTGCCATTGTTTCGCTGTAATTGACAAAATTCAACGGGCGAAGGCGGGCGACATCGATGCCTCGGCCCTCGGAGCTGCAGTTGATCGCCACGCGGACGCACATGAAAAAGCATACGGGGCCGACAATTGGAAACCAAAGTTTCATTTGGCGACGCACATTCCCGAGCAAGTGGAGAAATTCGACGTTGCGTTGGATTGCTTCGTTGTTGAGAGGTCGCACCTTCTGCCGAAAATGATTCTGGACAACCAAGATATACTGAAAGGCTTCGAGAAAGCTGCAATTTCTCGCGTGCTGTTGGCGCGCCTGCAGGAGCTCGAAAGTTTCGACGAGCGCCCAGGGCTCAGGGGGGGCGATGCGGAGTTGTCGCCCCTGCTGGCTGAAGCAGTCGGCGGCGACGTCGTCCTTTCATCCAGCGCTGCTTTCAAAGGCTTGCTTGTTTGGGCAGGCGACGTGGTGCGCATGCAGAACAATTTTCTATGCGTCGCAGCTCTGGGCCAACGGGGGGACGATCTATTCATTCTTGGGCACGAGTGCGTCGTGATCGAGAAGCGGACGCCGAACGCGTCAGTCCTGCGGAAGGACGGCGAATTGCTTCTTGCGTGGTGGAGCGGCGAATCGGTTGAGATGTGCCACGCTTGGTCGGAGCTCGCCTCTGGCGACATTCTTGCTTTGCACTGAGCGGAAAACAACATCTGCCAGGACAGCGATTGAATCGCTCATCAAAAAAACATTAGCGATTGAATCGCTCATCCTCCTCCACTCCGCATCTTTCTTCGGTCTGCGATCCTGCAGCGATTGAATCGCTCATCCTCCTCGCAATCCGCCTCTTTCTTCGGTCTGCGATCCGAAGCCTCAGCAGCCACGCGGCGTCGGGGGGATGGGGGTACGCGGGGGAGGAGGGGGGAGAGGGGAATGATAATGTGCGATATGTACAATTCGAGGGTTGCAAAGGAGCCCAAATTTAACTTATTTCAGACAGTTGCAAGTAGTTTACAAGTTATTTGTAACTTTGATAAGTTCTTTGGCCTGCAACTTACAACTCGCAGTTACGATAGTCACATCCCTGGGTAACTTGGGCAGCTGCAATTACAAGTGGTAAACAATGCAACCATCTATGCTAACATCAAGTTGGGTAGTTGCATGTTAGTTCTTCAGATGACCTTAGCTATGTATCAACTTACACCATGCTGTAACCAAAGCTGGCCAGCTTCAAGTTTTCTAACCCAAAGTCGCTACGCCAGTGGGGGGGGGGCGGCGTTGAGGGGGAGGGTGCCGAGCACTGAATGCGTCGGATGAGGTCGGATGAGGTCGGATGAGGTCCCCCCCCCGGCAGAGCGAAGCTTGAGCGAGCTCAAGCCCACGCTCTCAGAAACACGCCGGATTGGCGGATTTGGCAGGGTCGACCTAGTAATCAAGGCCGACTGTATCTTCCCCAGGACACCTCCGGCGTCGCATTTCCCGAGGTCAGGCCCTCTTCCCGGGGACCGTTTTCTCGTCGCGGGCCGCTTTTGTGACGGCCCTGGGGCCACTGTGCGGCCCCCAAGCGCCGAACATTTTCTGTCAAAGGCCGACCGCCGTGTTCCTGCACCACGCGAGGAAGTCGATTTTCCGGGCCATGCCTCGATCCTCAGGCGGCCGTTTGTGTTTTTTTGCTGTTCCTGGACGCTGTGCTCGCTCCTGGCGAGGCGCAGCTGTTGGAAAGTGCTCCGATGCGAGAAAGCCAGGAAGAATCAGCGATACCTCCCGAGAGCGACGCGAGGATGTCAGGGAAAGGGGGGCCCAGCGATCCGATGTCTCGCTTTTATTCAGCACGGGGCCCCTGAAAGTCTCGACCCCTTCCTGGGAACTGGCTTTTCATCTCGAGTAGTTTCTTGACGCTCCCAGGGTCCGGCGAGGGTCCCCCACAGATAGAAAACGGCGACACCTACCGTATTGTTATTCCAATGCGTTTGCGGTGAGATGCGGGGGCGGCGCGTCCGAGGCGGATGTCAGGGGATCTCCCTTCCTCGGCTGCAGCGCTGGCAGAATGCTCGACGTTTGTACGGACGCCCGTGGATAGGTTCGGTGTGCACGCGTAGTCTGACTGCTGGCCAGTCTTAATAGACTTCGAGCTGTAGTCCAAATCCAAGTCCAAGGTGGAGCAGGAGGGAGGAGGATGCGGAGGATGCGGAGGATGCTGAGGAGGAGGAGGAGGAGGAGGAGGAGGAGGAGGAGGAGGAGGAGGAGGAGGGGGTGCGAGGAGGAGGAGGGAGGAGGAGGAGGAGGAGAAGGAGGAGGAGGGGGAGGAGGGGAGGGGGAGGAGGAGGATGACCTCCTCGTCGTCCTCTCCTCTCCAGGGGAGACGCCGGGGGCGGCGCACCCGAGGCGGCGAAGACGGCCGAGCAGCACGGGGAGCGGTTGCAGGGCGTGATGCGGGCCGTCGAGGGCGTGACCGGGCTGCCGGCCAGCTGCCGCGCGATGTTGCTGGCGGTGCTGCCCCCGAGCCTGGGGGCCGCGGCGGACGCCCGCCACCCGCTGCAGGCGCGTGCCGTGGCTTGCGGCAGCGCCGACGTCGTCGTCGTCGTCGTCGTCGTTGTCGTCGTCGTCGTCGTCGTCTTCGTCGTCGTCGTCGTCGTTGTTGTCGTCGAGACCAGGTGGCGTTTGTGGGGTGGGGGAAGAGGAGGAGACCGGTAATGTCACGATTCGCGCCGGCGCCGTCCGAGAATGCCTTCGAACGCGCAGGAGTTGATGATCTTCAGAAGGAGCCAGCGCGAATCGTGACGTGACCAGGATAGGGGGAGGGAAGGGGCGGGGGGGGGGCCAGTGCCCGGCGTCATCGCCAATAACAGAGAATGGGCTCGTCGTCGTCGTCGTCGTCGTCGTCGTCGTCGTCGTCGTCCTGCTGCCTTTCGCTCCGCTGCAGGCCCACGCCGTGGGCCTCGTCGCCGAGGCCCTGGCGCAGGCGCGCTCGGAGAAGGAGGCCGCCGGGAGGGGAGCGCAACCACGGGGGAGGGCGACCGCACAGTCGGGGCGGACGGAAGGGGGGTATATAGGGAAAGGTCGGGGGTGGACAGAACCCCCAACAGTGACACGTCGATTGGTGAATTGTCCGTTGTCGGTTCTCAAGAGGGCGCCGTCGCCGTTGTTTTCCAGGCTCGCGCCCGCCAGGTTTGGGCCTCGGGTCGTTTTCACTGAATCACGTTTTACTAAAGGGGGTCTGTCCATCCTCGAAAAGGGGGGATTACGAAATCTGCTGCATGCAGCTGGTTTCGGCCCCGCCGCCGGGCCCATTCCTCGATACATGGGCGCCTCCCGGCGCCGGGAGGCGCTGGGAAAATCAGCTACATGAGCCGATTCTCACCCCCCCCGCATTGCTATCCCCCCCTTTCGCCCGACCCGACACAGGTCCACCTCGTTTGGAGTCGGCTGGGGTTCTGAGGTGGCCCAGCACTGCTTCTGGCCAGCAGGAAGGGGGGGGCAGACTCGAGGTGCTGCGTTCGACCCGGTTTTTTTTTTGGGGGGGGGGGGAGGGGGCGTTTCTCGGTCTCGAGGGGTCGTTTTCGGGCCCCGTGGCCCCTACGGATCCGGCGTGGAAGACTGCACCGGGTGGATCCCGGGAGGGGTCCTATCAGGAGGAAAAGAAACACACAGACACAATTAATTTTCGATTTCCCAGAAAATATGGGAAAATATGGGAAGTGGACGGGAAGACAGAAACCCAGAAAATACAGGAAAATATGCGGAATCTTTTGATTGTGTATACTTATTTGTGTGTGTGTGTGTGTGTGTGTGTCCTGGGGCCCCTTCATCCGACGATTGATTCTGAGCGGGTTTGACCTTTATCCCCTCCCTTGACCGAGTTCCCCTCGGGGCCCGTCCAGCTCAGGCCCTCCCGGCCCGCCTCCAGCACTTCGTTGTCCCCCAGAAGGGGGGGGGAGCAGTCAGAGGAGGCGGAGGAGGAGGAGGACGAGGAGGGGGGGCGAGGAGGAGGAGGAGGAGGAGGAGGAGGAGGAGGAGGATTGTCACGGCTGTCGTTTAAGGCACGGGTAATGTTTTACCGCTTCGTGCCCTAACAATGGTGGCACGCCATGTTCTGGATGCAACACTTGTGAAGATGCGGCTACTACCACGCCTATGCTGTGCAACACTCGCGCCAATGCCCACCACTGCACGGCCTATGACCGCCCATGGCCTACACGCGGGCCCTTTGCACGGTGGCTGGTAAGCCCCCCACCCCCATGCCTGACACTGCCACCTATGCCCCGCGTGCAACTGCGGAGACCCCAGGCCTGCTACGGCCTACTATGGTCTGCGAACTATCAACATGTCAAAGCATGAACCTACCTGACTGTTTGGTATGCCATGCTAGTTCAAGTGGGATGCAACCTGGAATGCACGAGTAAAGTCCCCCACGGCTGCGAAGCAGGATGGTTTACAACCGCCTGGCCTCTTCCCAGAGGAGGGCCACCCCACGACTGTGAAGCACACTTAGCTGCCCCGTGCCAATCCCCGTACTCCCATGGATGCAACACTTGTGAAGATGCGGCTACTACCACGCCTATGCTGTGCAACACTCGCGCCAATGCCCTCCTCTGCACGGCCTGTGGCCACCCATGGCCTACACGCGGGCCCTTTGCACGGTGGCTGGTAAGCCCCCCACCCCCATGCCTGACACTGCCACCTGTGGCCCGCGTGCAACTGCGGAGACCCCAGGCCTGCTACGGCCTAATAAGGTCTGCGAACTATCAACATGTCAAAGCATGAACCTACCTGGCTACTCCTCCACGACGTGTCTGGGGCACGGGGCCAAAAGCACGAGGAGGAGGAATAGGATGAGGAAGAGGAACAGTAGGATGAGGAGACCAAATAACGCAATACCAGACAAGAGACGCCTCTTCCGTACCAAAACGACCACCCTTCGGGTGATAAGGAGGAACGGGGGGGGAGTAACCAACGCGCACGAACACGAAACCGAAACCGATTTCCCGGTAGGGGGGCTCTCCGTTCCACTTCGATCTCTCCCCCTCACCTCCGATTTACATGGGACATCCTCCAATGCGCGGGGACTGCGTGTCCCATAGCAGGGACTGCGCGTCCCATTTGCCAGGGCTGTGTGTCCCATAATCGAGACTGCGCGTCCCATTTGCCAGGACTGTGCGTCCCATAGCAGGGACTGCGCGTCCCATTTGCCAGGGCTGCGTGTCCCATAACAGGGATTGTGCGTCCCATTTGCCAGGACTGTGCGTCCCATAATCGAGACTGCGCGTCCCATTTGCCAGGGATGTGTGTCCCATAGCAGGGACTGCGCGTCCCATTTGCCAGGGCTGCGTGTCCCATAACAGGGACTGTGCGTCCCATTTGCCAGGACTGTGCGTCCCATAATCGAGACTGCGCGTCCCATTTGCCAGGAATGTGTGTCCCATAGCAGGGACTGCGCGTCCCATTTGCCAGGACTGCGTGTCCCATAACAGGGACTGTGCGTCCCATTTGCCAGGACTGTGCGTCCCATAATCGAGACTGCGCGTCCCATTTGCCAGGAATGTGTGTCCCATAGCAGGGACTGCGCGTCCCATTTGCCAGGACTGCGTGTCCCATAACAGGGACTGCGCGTCCCATTTGCCAGGACCGTGCGTCCCATAATCGAGACTGTGCGTCCCATTTGCCAGGAATGTGTGTCCCATAACAGGGACTGCGCGTCCCATTTGCCAAGACTGCGTGTCCCATAACAGGGACTGTGCGTCCCATTTGCCAGGACTGTGCGCCCCATAATCGAGACTGCGCGTCCCATTTGCCAGGAATGTGTGTCCCATAGCAGGGACTGCGCGTCCCATTTGCCAGGACTGCGTGTCCCATAACAGGGACTGTGCGTCCCATTTGCCAGGACTGTGCGTCCCATAATCGAGACTGCGCGTCCCATTTGCCAGGAATGTGTGTCCCATAGCAGGGACTGCGCGTCCCATTTGCCAGGACTGCGTGTCCCATAACGGGCTGTGCGTCCCATTTGCCAGGACGGTGTGTCCCATAGGGAGGAGGAGGAGGAGGATTGTCTCGGCTGTCGTTTAAGGCACGGGTCAAGTGTAACCGTATCGTGCCCTAACAAGAGGGAACACGACCGTCAACCTAATGAAGCGAAGCGGCGGCGGCAGCGGCCAGCCGCACTGTATATGCCGTACCCCGACCGCTATTATTCGGGTACTATGTAATCTACCTACGGATGCCTACCAGGCGAGACACGGCCCTCGTCTGTGAAGCCCCTTATATGGAATGCGCCACCGTCCTCCTTCTGGAGGGGGGCCGCTCCACGACTGTGAAGCCCGCTTAACTACCCTACTCTCATCCTCCCTCAACAGGAGGGCCGCCCCACGACGGTGAAGCCTTATTATCGCCAAACTCTTACCTTTGCCCTTCGCTGTCACTTGTCCCCCCACCACTAAGTGGCAATTCGTCCCTGCCCCCAGACTGTGAAGCTTGCCCACCCCCCTCTCTCAATGAGAGGCAGGCGAGCAACGCCCCACGACTGTGCCCTTTCAACAACCCCACTCTCATCCTCCCTCAAAAGGAGGGCCGCCCCTCGACTGTGAAGCCCTAACATTGCCCCCCGCTTATCCCTTTACCTTTACGGTCACGTGTAACCCCGCGACTAGATAGCAATACCTACTCGGCAAACCTCTCCCCTACTACTGCTCTCCATGGGGTCCATGTGAAGCACGGTTATCCCCTTGAAAGCTACCCACGTATTATGGGAGCGGCCGCGGGGGCGAACCTTCCAATACTAAAATTCGACACCTGCTGCTACAAGAAGGGCCCCACGACTGTGGGGCACCACAGAACACCACCGCAGATGATTCCGGTCAGCAGGCGCGCCGGACCGGAACGGAAACGAAAAACAGAACCCTGGAGCAGAAAACGAAAATCCGTTTTCCGTTTTCCGTTTTCCGGTTTCCGTTTTCCGGTTTCCGTTCCATGGTTTCCGTTTTCCGGTTTCCGGTCTGGGCAGAAAGCGAAGTTGCGTTTTCCGTTTTCCTTTTTCGGGTTTCCGTTTTCCGTTTTCCGGTTTCCGGTTTTTGTTTTCCGTTTTCCGGTTTCCGGTTTCCGTTTTCCGTTTTCCGGTTTGGGCAGAAAACGAAAATCCGTTTTCCGTTTTCCGTTTTCGGTTTCCCGGTTTCCGTTCCATGGTTTCCGTTTTCCGGTTTCCGGAAAACCAAATTCCGTTGTCCGTTTTCCGTTTTCCGGTTTCCGTTTTCTGGTTTCCGGTTTCTGTTTTCCAGTTTCCGTTTTCCGTTTTCCGTTTTCCGGTTCCCGGCTTGGGCAAAAAAGCGAAGTTCCGTTTTCCATTTTCCGTTTTCCAGTTTCTGTTTTTCGCTTTCCGGTTTCCGGGTTCCGTTTTCCGTTTTCCGGTTTCCGTTTTCTTTTGTCCGTTTTCTAGTTTGCGTTTTATTGTTTGCCGCCCGCACCCAGCACAGGCTTCCCCCCTCTTGTCGTCAAAAGCTGGTACACCGAGGGGCCGTTCTTGTGGAGTTGGGCTTCAGTTTACTTTCGGTACGCCTCGTCCAGACAAGCTCAACATTTGCCAGGGCACAAGTCAAGAGGTCGACAGTTGCATTCGAATGCCTGGTGACTGTACGGCACCACGGGCACCGGCGGATTGGCGCCAGAAGGTCCAGACTCTCCGGCCAGAGCTTCGCTAACCGCATGCCGATGATAATAAAGGGACCCCCCCCCTTCAGTGTTTAGAGTTCATTATCGTCGCCCTATACAAAATTCAAATTGGGCGGCGAGCGCTGAGGCCGAACTTCATTATCACCTCGAAACGCTATGTTGAGATAGCAACATCAAGCGATGTTGATATAGCAACATCAAGCGAAGCGATCACACTTTTCAGGATGTGTCAAGCGAAACCAATAATTTTGGGAGGCAGACTCAAACGAAACGAGCAATGTTTCAAGGATGTCTCAAGGATGTTTCAAGCTAAACCAGCAAGTTTTCTTTTTATTAATATGTTTTATTATCTTCCTTTTTATATATGCATTTATCCCCGCGCGC